TCTACAGAATTGTACTTACCGCTTCTCGAAGGACTTCCAATTAAGAATCAAACAATAGGCACATTTTTTACGGACACTGTATAAACAATGTTCTGTGATCCTCCATTTCACTTTGTCCATGTTCCTGTAATTCCTTACCACTTTTGCTGTTGCCCGCAGTCTGACAATCAATAACGGATAAGACAAATTCAGGATAAATAAGTACATAAAGCGGCGCTGATTTGCGAGAATTACTTTTCCTTGTTGAACAGCAGTGTTAAAAATTATTCCCTATCGGGTGTAGAACCGGATGATGGCCTACACACATGACTATGTTCTGTTTAGGTTAATTAGTCAATCTGCACTTGGAACAGCATAGATGCTCTTCGCACCAAAGTAAATGCTGTGACTATGGTGAGCACATGCGAGCTTGTGTCTTCGATCCAGTTGATTTTCATAATTAGATGCGTGAAACAGACCAACACATTACCTCAAATGGCTTGGATGCTGATATGCATAGGGACATCGCATGTACAGAGAAACTTCTGAAGATTGGAGAACGTTTCTATCATGCGACGGAATCGGATGCACGTCGTTGGTTAGTGTATTAGTATCCAAGATTCTCCTGAACTTCAGTTGTTTAGTCTTCTTCCACAAATTCTGGATACTATCTATGAATTGGTAGATCTCAAATACGACAAAATGATACGAGCAGATGCTTTATTGACTTCTTCCACATTTGATGACCATAGGCAGCAGTTAATGTTTGTATTCACCTGCTTGGATCACTGCCATCAATTCGAAGAGCTTTCTGATGGTAACTGGTGCCTCCTTCAGCCACGATAATGGCCAGCATTTATTTTTAGATTTTTTGAAATGGATCATGTCACGCTTCATACGATCCCGTATGAGTATTGTTGTCAACGCGAAATTTGGCGGTTTCCTCCAAGAAAAAATTCTACATCTTGCCGGTCTCATCAATGACAAACAGTCATTCTTGACGCATGTGGTCATGCAACTGGCCAGTAAGTTTCTTTTCCTGCTTGAGCTTCGTATCGGCTGTCTTCACTGTACATCAGTTTCTTACATACATATCTTTTCGGTTTCGCTCCATCTCACCTCATCCATTCATGGTCTCTTTTCCAAAAATCATTTTTTAAATTTGACTCGATCACTTTTTACGGAAAAACTGTTTTTTCTGTTTCTAGCCGCCATGTGTACTGCCAAATCCCTTGCTATCAGTCTGCTAATAGTTAATTTTCAGTGATTTCACTACTTTTTAGTTGTTCTAATTTTGTAAACTTCCAGAGGTGACAGGCAAATAGCAAACCTCATTTCACTTCTCACGATTTCTTGATCATCACTTCAAGGGTTTTTCGGATTTTATTCGGGACACGACACCAGTTGATGTGCATCATCTTCATCTTCGGCGTAAAATAAAAAAATTCAGAAATCGAAGGATGGGTTTTTAACTAAGCACTGAATATGATAAAAAATCGTTTTGTAGACAACAGGTTTTGTAATATTAAGAGCCATGAGCAACTTTATAGATTGTATACTGATGGTTTGCTGGATCTCATTGCTGAATAGAACATGTGATCTCCACTTATACAACAGAATACATCGATAAGCAAATTAAGTACATTGCAAGTATAATCATTTACGAACCGCTTTTTTAAATGTTTCTAGAAAAGGTTTTTTTCGACAACATAAACACAAATGCAAACATCTGTTCAAATGATGAAGAAATGCTGTCTGGAATGCTCAAGCTGCCCAGTTGTTATTTGAGAATTACCAACTGGTTTGATTGCAAACCTTTCTTCATGGCCCTGGATAAGCGGCTTTTCATTTCTTTTTTTGTTTCATTTGGACTCTAAGTGCATGTCTTGTTTTCATCTTATGTTATTTATTAGGTTGTAAAGAAAGTTCCCGGGCGCTCTTGAAAATTTCATTTTCTGACGCATTTTTTTGGCGCTCGG